AAAGCAGCTAATATGTGTGTGTGTGTGTGTGTGTGTGTGTGTGTGTGTGTGTGTGTGTGTGTGTGTGCAGTTATTAGGCCTGGTAAATAATTAATCTTCATGCCTCTGTGAGGTTTGATCCTTTGACATTTGGAGGCAGTGACACCTCAGACTCATTACCTGTTCAAGCAGCTTCTGTTACATTTCTGAACAGAATCTGGGTCGAACCCAAACACCTGGTTCAGTCTCAGGTGTCCACAGGAAGGAGACACTGAAGATCTGCAGGTGTTTTAGAGGTTAGACCAGGAGCTCAAGTTAAAAACTTAGATTTATAAACATAACTGAAGCTGCAGATCAGTGGATCATCTCCTGCTCATCACTCAGGAACACCTGAGACCCAGACCAGTCTGTGGTTCTTATTCACTCACATCAAGAGTTTAGAATAGAATAGAATAGAATAGAATAGAATAGAATAGAATAGAATAGAATAGAATAGAATAGAATAGAATTGAATAGAAATAGGCTTTATTGGGGAAATTCAAGTGTCACAGCAGCATCCGTACAGATGTTCACACACTACTTACTTTATAAACTACAGTACACACAAAAAAACGAAGTTAACACTGACTAGCAATGACACAACTACTAATAATAACAAAAATATAAGATAAAGAATTGTGCAAGAATACAAAAGATATGTTTCGTTTTAGAGACAGTAGACTCTGACAGTAGGAATCAGAATTTGCCTGTTTTCAGTGCAAAAATAATCTCAACAGAATATTAGCTGTAAAGTATCACAGTGCAAACAAGAAACACAGATATGTTAAATAAACTAATAATTATTAACAAATACTGGAAATTATTAACAGACTATAATAGAAAGAAGCAGAAACATGTTGCACAAACAGGAAGTTAACCAGAACATGATTTTTAGTTTGAACTTAAATGTCTCTCACATCATTTAACTCAACAATGCAATATATTAAATCAACCCATTAGTACTTTAACTTGTTAACTCATTAACCTATAAACTCAAGAACTTGTTAGCTCATTAACACTTTAACTCATTAATAATTTAACCCATTAACTTGACAACTCATAAACCTATAAACTCAAGAACGTGTTAGCTCATTAACACTTTAAGTCATTAATAATTTAACTCATTAACTTGTTAACTCATTAACATTTTAACATACTTTAACCCATTAACTTGTTAACTCATAATCTACAAACTCAAGAACTTGTTAGCTCATTAACACTTTAACTCATTAATAATTTAACTCATTAACTTGTTAACTCATTAACATTTTAACATACTTTGACCCATTAACTTGTTAACTCATTAACCTATAAACTCAAGAACGTGTTAGCTCATTAACACTTTAACTCATTAACTTAACTCATTAACATTTTAACATACCTTAACTCATTAACTTGTTAACTCATTAACATTTTAACATACTTTAACTCATTAACTTGTTAACTCATTAACATTTTAACATACTTTAACTCATTAACTTGTTAACTCATTAACATTTTAACATACTTTAACTCATTAACTTGTTAACTCATTAACATTTTAACATACTTTAACTCATTAACTTGTTAACTCATTAACATTTTAACATACTTTAACTCATTAACTTGTTAACTCATTAACATTTTAACATACTTTAACTCATTAACTTGTTAACTCATTAACATTTTAACATACTTTAACTCATTAACTTGTTAACTCATTAACATTTTAACATACTTTAACTCATTAACTT